GAGCTGCTTTCAGCTGGATCTAAACCCTCAGGTGAATTGAAGCCACGCCATTGCTGCCACTCAGCACTTCGGACTCCATCCTGCAAAGTAACATCATTAAAACCCTAGAATTCATCGCTAGACGTGGGGGCGTTAAGAACATCCATTACTTCCTGAACTTTAGTCCAGTCCAGCTCTTCCTCTTCGCTGTCAAAGTCTGCACAGTCAGCTACGTCTCTCAGATGTTTAGCAACAGACCCCACATCACTATTAGAGCTGCTGGCTACTCTTTTTACACCTCTGTAGTCATCTAGCTCCATTTCCTCGTGAGTAAAGCCCACAAAATCCTCCTCATCAGTAGTCTCTAGAAACAAGTCCCTGATCCTTTTCAGCTGCTGCTGCTCTTCATCATTCTCTAAGCCACGTTTTCTCCTACAACTGGTAGTAGGTGCATCAGACAGACGCTGAGTCTCAACATCCTCCTTTTTCTCCCACATCTTTATCATTATTTTAAATAATGAAAGTGTTTTAAAATCCTTATTGATATTATAATATGTTACTTTGTTTTTCAAACTTTGAGATTTTTGCACACAGTAGTTTCTACTTCAACAGTAGGTCATAACGTTATTTGGAAATAGAATATAATTCCATCTGTATGAGTGTGAATTTATCACTTAGCATGCTAATTTATTATTATTTATACTTACATATAGCATGTTCCAGTTGAAAATGCAATCAATATGTGCCATAGTGACGAAGATGCAGATTTCAAGAAAAAACAACAAAGAGGCAAGCAGCTGAACACATTGCACCAGTCTTGCTTTATAATTGTTTTCACATTTGTATAAGCTATCTTCAACAGTACTGGTGTTTTCATTTTCATTTCATTTAAATCTTTAAATACATTTTAATTTAATGTTTTTGTTTTACTTAGGTGAATTAATAAACATTGTTCCCGATTCTCAGCCAATAAAAAATGGCGAACAGTTGTAAGTACAGAAAAATAATTATAGATCATATTTATACTGTTTAATAGTTCTGTTATCAATATGGTACAGAGCCTTGATTCCAGCCCAGGAGGAATTTATAATTTTAAAAGATATATGATTTTAGAAAAACATGTCATTTACTATTATAGATCTTGTTTGTGATTTTTCTTTTGAATATTTATCTGCACATTGAGATGGCTAGACTGCCCAGATCCTTGTGTTATTCTTGCTTTAATCTGGGAAACATCAAACTTCGGTTACTTGTTTTACTCTATTAGTTATCATAAGTGCTTTCAGACTTGTGCACAAGTTTCATTTGTATCCATCCTTTATGCATAGTGTGGGTTACCTTTGGTAATGGTAATATCCTATCAATGATAGCTGTTAAACAAAGAAAAGGATGAACAGAGAAATTGGTACTTATCAGGGAATATTATTTCCTTCTCTGGAAGTTAACAGCCCTCTTGGGACTTTCTGCATGACAACCATATGCTTATTTTGCATGACAAGCATAAGAGAAGTGATCATTTTCCCTACGTGTCTGTGCTGTGAATGCGCACTAATGGTACTCTCTCTGTGCATGCGCAGCCTCATTCCGGAATCTTCAGTTAAATTTCAAAAAGAAAAGCGGTTGGCCCCATGCACACTCCCCAAGATAGCATAAATAGCCCGCGGCTGGCCAACCGCCTCCAGATCTCTTCATCCGCGCCTAAGAGCAGCAAGCCCGGATCTTCCTGCCGTTCAGAACGGTTTATTTAGAGATTACTTTTACGATGTCCCTTACAAAGGGCTTTAAACGTTGCTCTGCCTGCCAGAGCAATTACCCAGATAATGATGCACATTCGCTATGCATCGCCTGCTTGGGTGAAGGACATTTATCACAGGCCTGCTCCATATGCCAGTCCTTCACCCCACAAACAAGAAAGAACAGGGAAATTCGTTTAAAGGCTGCCCTCTATGAAAGGGCACTTCTCCCTGTTATGATAAAATCTAATGAGCCTAAAGACAAGAACTTACCTGGTCTGACGTCCCAATCGAAGTCAGCGAAGAAAGTTAAGAAATTGAAAAATATTGAGGGCAAATCGGCCATGGCAAGGCTCCCAAAGAAAGCGGCAGGAACCGTGGCCGCAGCCCCTCAGCTGGTCCCTTCAGCCGAGATGGGAAAGGAGACTCCTCCACGTGGCTTTACTAATGTTGAGGAGCCGGCAGCAACCTCCGCTCGCCCCGCGCGAGCACAGGAGGATAACGAAAGCGAAAGAGAGCCGAGATCGGCTAAAGCATGCCCCGCGCGTGCGCGGGAGGAGACCGGCGTCACGCCGCCGATGCCGACACTCTCGGCGCCGGCTCCTCCCACGGCCCAAGGGACTGCCTCAGAGGAGGAGCCAAGACAAGCGGCTTATGCAGAGCTCCCTTCAGGCACAGCGCTCCCTTTATCATCTGGCGTGAGCGCTGGGGCTTTGGATCGGCGCCGCGCGAGTTCAGCGCTCCCTTCCACATCGGGGATGCTAGGCGCTGGGGCCCCGAGTCGGCGCCGTGCGCGTGCTCCTTCCCGCAAGAGCAAGAGAAGACGCCGGGATTGTTCTAGTTCTAGTGACTCCTCCTCCTTCATCGACCAGCTCTTGCTCTGACTCATCGTGCTCTGCGAGGATGCGCAGACAGGCACGCGCAAAGAGAGCGAAGAAAACCTCCTCTACAAGACCTTCCCGTCGGAACAATAGAGAGCCTCCCCTCCCTCACCCAGGATTTTATGAGATAACACCTCAAGGGAGATTCATCTATTGTGGTCCACCACCACCTATATCCCCTAATCGAGAGGATTTATGTCCTCCTAGGTGTCGTAATGAGGACTATAGACTTGATAGACATTTGACAGAACTAGAGACAATCCCTGTGTGCATGAGAAATGAGCGCCAGGGATATTATTATTCCCAAAGGGGTACACCGCTGCCATCTGTCTGTGAGGATCACCTTCCACCTGAGAATATTGACTCAGATGCCTCTGTGGAGATGATGGAGACTTCTAATGTAGAGAATGATAAGGAGGCTAATGTGGACCGTATGGATGACTTTAATAAATTTGTGCAAATGATTGGGAGGATGATAACTGCATTGAGCATTCCTGCTCCTAAACCTGTTTCTGCTGTGGATGACCATATGTTTACACCTGAGGAGCAGGACACTTCCTCCTCTACTCTACTCCCGACACTACCATATTTGCTAAAGTTGACAAAGGTCCCTGACATTTCCCCGTCAATTGCTCCAGCTATTCCTAAGCGGGTAGACCTTTTTTACAAAGTAGATCTCTCAACAGCAAATTGGATTGCCCGCCCCACTGCTCCTAATATGGTGGTGGCGGAGGCAGCCAGGTCTAGAAGACCTAAGAAATATTCTGTGTCACCACCAGACAAAGAAGGCAAAAAGATAGATTCCCTTGGGAAGAAAGTACATGTAGCTGCGGGATTATTCGCTAGGATGGCTCATTATGCCACCTACATGAGCGGATACCAGAGTTTTCTCTGGAACAAGATGCTACCTTTTATCCATCTCCTGCCTACTGAAGACCGCCGTCTTCCTAAGGCTTTTCAGGCTGAGGCTCTTGTTCTTTCCAAATTTCAGAAAACTTTCGCTAAACATATGGCTGAGACATCTGGAAAGCTTCTCGCCACGGCCACAGCCATACGTCGTCATGCGTGGCTGCGTGCTTCTACGGTATCAGAGGAGAGTCGGTTGTTGGCAGAAGACCTTCCGATGCATGAGGAAGGTCTTTTTGATCCAACAACGGACGAAAAAATTAAGCATTCACGGGAAGTTATGCAGGCGGCCAAATATCCCTATCCATACTCGTACTCTTGGCAGCCAGGCGGCCAGCAGAAGCCTCGTTGGCAGCAGTCAGCCCCTTTCTATCGTAAGTCCAATTACAGTGGATATAATACGGTTCAGAACAATCGGAATGCCTCGTCAAAGTTCCAATATAACCGTAGGCAGAGTTATGGTGCTAAGCCTAGGTACCAACCATATAACCAAAACAAGATTAAGACTGCGGGAAATCCCAGGCGTCGTCTTTGACGATCCATCTGTTTCTGTTCCACAACAGCTCGGTTCTATTCAGCCAGAGTCTTCTGAACCAGTTGATTGTTTTTTGTTTAAGGATAGGCTTAGGCCGTTTGCACGGTCTTGGGCCGCAATAACGACTGATAGTTGGGTCCTCCAAATTGTTGAGCATGGTTACTCAATGGAATTTAAGTCTCGGCCCCCGTTGGGACAGTTAAGAGTTACTCCCGAATCCCCAGCATTGCTGGAAGAGATTGAGAAGTTATTGAGTAAGGGCGCGATTTCGCGCGTTCATGTTCAATGTTGAACATGAACATGTTCAATGTTGAACAGGTGTTTCTTTTCTCGTTATTTCTTAGTAACCAAAAGAGGTGGAGGTTTGCGTCCTATATTAGATTTAAGGCGAGTGAACATGTATATTGATTCGAGAAAGTTTTGTATGGTTTCTCTCTCTATGATCCTTCCTCTTTTAAATAAAGATGACTGGTTTGCATCTATTGACTTGAAAGACGCATACTTTCACATTTCCATAGCTGAGCACCACAGGAAATATCTCGCTTTCATGGTTGGAGACAGGGCCTTTAGTTTTAACATCTTGCCATTTGGCCTTACTACAGCCCCTAGAGTCTTCAAAAAATGCATGGCGGTGGTCGCTGCTCACCTCAGGACTAGGGGCATTACCGTTTATCCGTACATAGATGATTGGCTGTTAGTAGCGAGCTCATGTGACCTCCTGCGTGTGCATGTTAATACAGCTCTCTCTCTTCTCCAGTCCCTAGGTCTCGTGGTGAACAGAGAGAAGTCCCATCTATTAACTGCCCGCAGAATTCAGTTTATTGGAGCTGTCTTGGATTCAACTTACCAGAAGGCGTTTCTACCAGAGGACCGTTTCACATCACTCAAGTCCCTGGTTGTGCAAATTCTATGTTCAGGGGAAGTGTCAGCGAAGACAATTCAAGTGCGACTGGGGCATATGGCCTCTACAACAGCGGTCACGCCATATGCCCGCTTGCGTTTCAGACCCATCCAGAACTGGTTTCTGTCAGTGTTCCGTCCTGGCCTGGACAACCCCCATGTGCGGTATCGCATGCCAGAGGAAGTGCAGACTTCCCTATTGTGGTGGGCAGAACCGGCCAATGTAACTGCTGGCCTGCCTTTTCAACTTCCCGAACTGTCGAGTGTTGTCACGACGGATTCATCTTTAGGAGGATGGGGAGTGCATTTCAAGGGTCTTACTGCCCAAGGTCTTTGGACTCCAGAGGAGGCCACGTCCCATATAAACGTACTGGAATTACTTGCAGTAGAAAAGGCGCTAAAATCTTTTGAGATGCATTGTTGGGCGAGGTAGTGCAGGTGGTAACGGACAATACAACGACAATGTTCTATATAAACAAGCAAGGGGAAACACGATCCCAGACTCTGTCGAGACTAACAGTGCGTATCTGGGACTGGTGCATAGCGAGAGAGATCCATCTGATGGCCGTTCACCTCCCAGGGGAGGAGAATGTTTTGGCAGACACGCTAAGCAGGGCACCCATGTCGAGCCACGAGTGGTCTCTCAATCAAAGGGAACTCAATACGATCTTCGGGATCTGGGGGGTTCCGAGAATAGATCTGTTCGCGTCGAAGGAGAACGCGAAATGTCCCCTTTTCTGTGCACGCAGAAAAGCAAATCTAGCGCAGGGATGCTTGGGGGATGCGTTCCTTCTCAAGTGGTCAGGAGATTTCCTTTACGCATTTCCTCCATTTCCCCTACTGGCGAAGGTCCTTTCGAAGTTAAGGAGGGACAGAGGGAACTGTATTCTAGTGTCACCATGGTGGCCTCGTCAACCGTGGTTCTCAGTTCTTCTCGAGATGTCCAACGGGAGGTACAGGCGCCTGTCGAACAGGACAGACCTTCTAACTTCACAAGACGGATGGGTTTGTTACCCGGACGTTCACATGTTGAGACTCACTGCTTGGAGGATTGCCCCAGACCATTAGGTCCTTCTTTAGGTTTGTCTAGTCCGGTTAGGGCTATTTTGGATGCGGCACAAAAGCCGTCTACTAAGCGTTCTTATGTGTATAAGTGGGCACGTTACTCCAAGTTTATGTTAAGTAAGGGCTGTGACCCTGTTAGAGCGCCAATTTCGGCAGTGTTAGACTTTTTAGTTTTGTTATCTGATTCAGGTTTGTCTATCTCATCCCTGAAGTGTTACCTGGCGGCCATCTCATGGTACAGAAGGAAAGAAGGAATGCCCTCCCTTTTTGCAGACTCTTTAGTTAAACTTTTCCTCAAAGGTTACGGGAATGTTAAACCAGCAGTAGCCCCTGTTATCCCCTCATGGAGCTTGGAGGTTGTGCTTTCATCTCTTCAAAGTGCGCCGTACGAGCCTATGGCCACTTGCGATATTTCACATCTCTCCTGGAAAACTTCCTTTTTGGTGGCGATAACATCAGCGTTAGTGAACTTTGCGCACTTAGATCAGATGAACCATACCTCCGGTTCCACAAGGATAAGGTAGTGCTACGCACAAACATTGCCTTTCTTCCCAAGGTGACATCTCAATTTCATATGTCACAGGAGATTATTTTGCCATCCTTCTTCCAGAACCCAGTCTCCCCTTTGGAGCGTAGTCTCCATTTGCTTGATGCCCGCAGAGCGTTGGCGTTCTATCTTAGTAGAACGAAAGACATAAGGAAAACACCTAGGTTATTTGTGAAGTATAGGAAAGACTCTTGCGGCTCCCCGGTGTCATCACAGCGCCTGTCATCATGGATAGTCTCCGCAATCAAGTTGGCTTACCAGAAGTCTGGACGTGAGCTTCCTTCTGCCGTGAAAGGGCATTCCACGAGGGCAGTGTCCACTATGGCAGCATTCTGGAAGGGTGTGCCCTTGGATGTCATTTGTCGGGCTGCCACCTGGTCGATGCCATTGACTTTTGTGTCACATTATAAGCTTGATTTGATGGCAAAGAAGGATGCGGTGTTTGGTCGAGCAGTGCTTTTCTCTGCGGTGGCATGACTCCCGCCATCCAAGGTGGGTAGCTCACTAGTCTTTTACCATTAGTGCGCATTCACAGCACAGACACGTAGGGAAAATGAGAGGTTGCTTACCTGTAACCGTAGTTTCCCTAGTGTTGTGCTGTAAATTCGCACGGCCCCGCCCATCCTCCCCGCAATATGTCATGCCTCCTCCTCCTGGCTGCTTTGGCGGCGGAAGAGATCTGGAGGCGGTTGGCCAGCCGCGGGCTATTTATGCTATCTTGGGGAGTGTGCGCGGGGCCAACCGCTTTTCTTTTTGAAATTTAACTGAAGATTCCAGAATGAGGCTGCGCATGCACAGAGAGAGTACCATTAGTGCGAATTCACAGCACAACACTAGGGAAACTACGGTTACAGGTAAGCAACCTCTCATTTAGCCATAGAAGGGCCTTTACTGCATTCATGTTCATTGTGGTCATTTGGTTGCTTGTATTTCAGATGAAACTAATATATAGTATCAAATGGTGCTCACAAAAATAATAATGGATTTCTGCCAGCAGTGTCAGTGTGTTTAATTATTAAACCAGGATAAATAGGGATTTGGTGAATCTCCATGATTGTCATGTGGTGATGGTGTGTTGCCTGGAATTAATAGCTCTATTCATCAGTTTTTTCAAAGAAGAGATAAACAGTCTAGTACTGTATTCAACTCAGTAGCAACTCTTTTATAAAAGTAATAATGAAATGTGAATGAACATATACATTTTTAAACAAAGATCAGTTATTTGTTTATATATGATTTTAAATGTAGGACAGTTTTCAGTAAAAAAAAATTAATGCAGTGGATGTACTGGGGACATCTTTTGTTTAAAGAAAATGCAAATATTTTATATTTTGGTAGTAAATGTATCAGTAACATATATAAATGTCAAAATGTTTGTTGACAAAATTGGATTTCTTTTAAAGATTACCTGATGTGGAGGATAATTCTTTTGCTGCAGTTAAAACCCAGAAACGTCAGATGTGTTGGATACCTGAGACAGTAATATCACATTGCAACAAACACAATAGTAGTCAACAAGAATGTATGTTCCACTTTTAAACATTCAATTGATCTGTAAGATATAGTTTCTGTGATAAATGAGAGTTTCTTTAAAATCCCATTTTAAAACATATTTTTTGTTTTGTATTAGCTTCTAATCTAAGTGACATAGTTGCGAAGCAAAAAGCATTCTCTTCCATATTTGAAATGAGTTCTACAGAGGTGAAAAGTAGACTGCATTGTGATGAAAAAATAACGGCGCAGCGGCATCATGAAACTAATATAGTGGCAATGAAAAGTGGCAAGATAAACAGTGCAGAAATGGGAAACAGTCTCAAGCCTTTGGATGAGAAAATATCAAAAAGTACCAGCAAAAACCTTGTTTCCAGTAAACCTGAAGTTAATATTAGTGCCAACCAAATGGAAGACAGTTCTCTCAAACATTTAGGATATCCAAAGTCAGTAACTGCAACCAATGATGATGATGAATTTGATATATGTTATAGGAAAAAAACTGTTAATAAGAAAACTAATCAGGTAAAATGGAGCTGAATTGTAGCTACTTATAACATTGTAACTCATATGAAAGCCCTCTTTCAGTTTACATTGTATCATTCATTGAAACAAGATCAATACAAAATATATAGTTAAGAGTCTTGTGGGCCACCGAATGACATCACTTGTATTTCTTAATCAAAATTTCACACTGATTGATTTTCTTCCTACAATAAAGAAAGATCCACATATACGTTTTCTTGTGGGCTGAAAAAGAAATTTGATGACAAGATTGTTTGGGGAAACGGCCAAAAAGAACAGTATTAAACATACTTGTCAGTATTTCTGCTCTAGTCAAAACCATCCTGATTCCATTAAATTTAAATGCATGCTGGTGAGAGATGCTGCAAATGCCTTGTCAGTGGCAAAAAATAAATGTAAAAGTTCTTGACATTTTTTGGGGTGAAAAAAAAGCTTTTGTTTTTTTCCCCCGTGAAGTTGAGTGTGCTGCAGGATGAGGTTTGCCTCAAAAAGAGTTTGCCCCTTTAGATTTTCAGTTTCCCACCTTCATCTAGATGAAGAGTTAGGAAACTTAGAGCATCAAATTATTGTAGGATCCTAACTCCCATCAATAGCAATGAATGTGGCCAGTAATCAAGGATGGTAGCTAGGGTACGGTGGTTCTCCACAGTCTCAACCCTAACAGAATTGATATGCTGAAAATGCTGACACATTTTCTAGGATTAGGGGCATAGACCCATGAACACACACACAAGTGAGAAACTGCAAATAAAAGATATGCATGGCTTTTTAAAAAAATCAAAGCAGCAACCTTTTTAGGACTCTCTAGGTCAGTGGTTCTCAACCTGGGGTCCCCAGATGTTTTTGGCCTACAACTCCCAGAAATCCCAGCCAGTTTACCAGCTGTTAGGATTTCTGGAAGTTGAAGACCAAAAACATCTGGGGACCCCAGGTTGAGAACGACTGCTCTAGGTCCTCCAGCATGACTGTCAATTTTGCAAAAATCAAATTACAAAAGTCAAACCCGCAAATGTGGAGGACTAACTGAATAAATGGCATAAAAGAGAATTTCTATCATTTGTAGATTTTGCTGATAGGTAGCCTTGTGATTTGGCTACCCAAAGGAAAGGCTAGAGCTAAGGAATGTGGAAAGTGGCTGAAATATAAATACTGTTCAGAATTATGTATAACCAACCATTGGATTGCAGATCTCCAGTTCTCAACATGTGCTCTGGGATTTCTTGTGACCTGACTGATTAACATCTAGAGCACTATCTCTTAAATTGCAGCTCTAAACTCCAAATGAGATCCCTTTAGCTCAATTTTGAGGTCAAAAAATTTGGCAACAGGAAAAGGTTTCTGAATGCCCCACCACCACCACTACCACCACCACAGTTAAATAAATCTGTTAGCAATGACATGTGTTTACAGTGGACTCTGCAGAAAATGATTTGCAAAAAGGGAAGCCAGCCTGTTTAGCAAGTTTTGCAAATGCTGACATTGTCAGTAAACGTTTGATTTTTTAATGCCTATTCTCAATACCTATATGGATTTTGAATGAAAGAAATTTTATTTTGGAAAATATAATTTGTGGAATATTTGATAAGTTGTTTGCAAAATATTTCAGAAATCTAAATCAAAAGTAATGGCTGAAGCAGCAGAATTATTAATAAGTAACATCAGTGACAGATACAAACAAAAAAACGGGATAAAGAATACAAGACAACTTCAGTCATTTTCAAAGAAGAGGTACAACATGTGTATTTTCTTTGTAAAATATAGATTGAGTATCCATTATCTGAAATTCTGAAATCTAAAATTCTATATTATCTAGCCTTCACTGTGAATAATTTGCTAAAGGTAGTGACAGTTTACATCTCCACAACCCGTATTAACTATACAGGCCAAAGTGGGTCCAAGTGATATTATCTGTAAAGTGTTTAGTAAATTATTCACATGAATGCTAGATTATTCTCTTATCTGCCAAATGTAGGTAAACTCAAATGCTCCAAACAGTTCTTCTAGACTTTGCAGATCAAAGATGACAGGGTTGTGGCTTTTGTTGTTTGCTGCTCTTCCTCCCTCTCGCTCATTCTAAATTTTCTGCCAACATCATTTTAGTCAGCATTTCATTCATTTTATTCTAGCCAGCTTCCTAGAGACTCAAGGGGTTGGCTTAGCTCTACTTTCTGAGAAGTACCATTCCATTTTCCCATCCCAGAACCTGAAGTTGGGGTGAGGCCAACAACAACCCAGGACGCTTCCACACAGCTGTATAAAATCCTACATTATCTGCTTTGAATTGGGTTATATGCAGTGTGCACACAACTAACCCAGTTCAAAGCAGATATTGTGGATTATCTACCTTGATATTCTGGGTTAAATGGCCGAGAAAGGGAGATTTTTGAGCAGCAAGGTGGACAGTACATCAACAGAATCCCTGTTCTGTTCTAGCTGTCCACCTCTGAATACATGAACTCAAATTTTTCACACTGGGAAAAGACACCTTATCCTGGGATTAACCATTTAGGAGAGACATTTATAATATTGAGCCAGAACACCATACTGCTTTATGAAATTATAAACCCCAGGATATCATATGATGGAACCGTAACAGTTAAGTAGAATAACAGTGCTATAACAGCTGATTTTAGTCTCCTTCTGGAGAGAAAAATAGGGTATAAATAAACATAATAATAACATAATTGTATAGCGTGACAGGGTATCTTGTTAATAGGGTCAACTTTATTCAAAAATTGATGGTAAATAGCAAAAACATCAGTGCTGTAGTATTTATAATTTCTGTGTATGATTTTAAAAATTAGACAGTGGAGAAAGCTGACAGGAAGAGAATACCGCTTCATGAACTTGAAAAAGACCCAATATTTGGATTCTAGAATTTGCCCTAGTTGCCAAAGTGAGGCAATTGAAAAAGATGATAATGATAAATAATCATCATAATCACAATCTTCATCATCATTGTCATCATATTTATTTGCATCCCACCTCCATCTCCCAAAAAGGGACTCAGGGTGGCTTACAAAGCACTGCCATCAACAGTGCATGAGTTTAAAACAATATCACATAAAAGTTATAAATAATCATAATGCTTGGTAAAGTTGAAGGCAAAGTAAGAAAAAAGAGTTCATTACAGATAAGGAAGTCATAGTCCTGAGCTTGCAAAGACCTGAGCATATCTGTTGGTGACTGGAGCTTTCCTCTGGTCATCTGTCAGGGGTGTCTCGTGCTTTTCCTGCATGGCAGAGGGTTGAACTAGATAGCCCATATGGTCAAAACCAACTTGACAATTAACAATATCTGTAGAATTTTCCATTTTTGTTGAAAAAAATGTATATGAGGTCAGATTTTTTTTACTGGCAAATATCTTTTCCTGGCCCCAAAATGTCACTGTCCTGGGGACCGTAGGTCAGTAATAGTAGTAGTAGTAGTGATAATAATAATTATGACTATGACAATGATGATGATACAGATTATACAGCAGGGATTTGTTTGCAAGTGATGAGTTATATTCATTGGTGGATGTCTGCTTTCTTATGAATAGAATCCAGCACAAAGGGCACAATTTATCCTCCCCACTGGAGGCTATCCCCTACTCCTATTAAGCATTTCAAAGATTAGTACTTCCAGACTCTCAGCATCAGAGAGCACTGCAGTAGGGAGGAGCAAATATCCCAACACTATGGCAACAATCACAACTTATTTAGGCAATGTATTTAGAACTGTGAGTCATGTTTTAATTTCAACTATACTACATCATTGTAATTTTTCTAAAATATAGTAGCGAAGCAAATAATTCTTTGTAAACAAAGATTCTGGTATGAAATTTGACTTGCATTATATTTTACTCATTTATCTTGTAGTACATCTTTTAATAAATCTGGATTCAGTGTTAGTAAGGTAAGCACTTGTTTTCCCCCTTTACAAATGTAGAACTATGTTTTAATATCAAACTGTATGTGTGTGTGCATGTGTAAAATAGATTTTACACCTACTAGTAAATCCATCTCCAATTAATAGAAAGAGAAAACTTTTAAAGGAAACTTCACTACTATATGCTGTGCACAAAAACAGAACAGTACAATCTAGGAATATAATGGAATTGTTGCCTTTGTTATATAAAGAACAACCATATCATACATTATCTTACTTTTTATATATGCGAGATGGATTTTGCTGATCCATATATGGTTTCATTTGGATTGAGCTCACAGAAAGCTTTATGGTCTTTTGTGGTATCTAGGCTCATTCTCCACATTCCTTCTTTATCATCACAAAAGAACACCATATTTATTTGAATACTAGCCACCCCCGGTGGCGCAGTGGGTTAAACCACTGAGCTGACAAACTTGTTGACCAAAAGGCCGCAGGTTCGAATCCGGGGAGTGACGTAAGCTTCCATTGTCAGCCCCAGCTTCTGCCAACCTAGCAGTTTGAAAACATGCAAATGTGAGTAGATCAATGGGTACCACTCCAGCGGGAAGGTAACAGTGCTCCATGCAGTAATGCTGGCCACATGACCTTGGAGGTGTCTACAGATAACACCGGCTCTTCGTCTTAGAAATGGAGATGAGCACCACCACCCCAGAGTCGGACACGACTGTACTCAATGTCAGGGGACAACCTTTACCTTTACCTTAGCCACCCCCTGCCATGCGTTGCTGTGGCTCAGTCTGTGTATATGTGTTTTGTGTGTGTATATATGTGTGTATATATATTTGTGTATATATTTGTGTATATGTGTATATGTATGTGTTTGCGTATAGAAGAGGTTTTGTGCATGCGTTATAACATATATATATGGCTTTTAAAGTCTCTTCCCCTGTGATTTCAGTGTTTTATGTGTGGTGGTCACTTGTTGGCCTGATATGTGTATTGTGTCCAAATTTGGTGTCAATTCGTCCAGTGGTTTTGGAGTTATGTTAATCCCACAAGTGAACATTACATTTTTATTTATATAGATAGTGCTCACCTTTTTGATAAATTACATAGCCTTGGCGTGATAGGGGGGCATGGCTTAACTGGCCTCATTCATGAGGCCTTCAACACCCCCCCCCCCCCCCATTTTGAAGGCCTCATAAATGAAGCCTTATTTGGGAAGCTGCCACCTCTCTGGCAGGCAGAAGCTTCCTAACAAGACCGTTTGGGAAGCCATGCCCCTCCATCAGGCCAACAGGTGCAGTTTCCCCCATGCCTTTTGACCATTCCGAGGCAGTCAGCAGAACATTCAGGTACCTATTACATTGATGACACATTATACTCAAGTAAATAGAGTATTGAATATGTGATTGAATAAACGTCCTAAAGAGGCCTCTGTTTTCAAGAAATGCTGAATCACTTCATTCTTTGTTGTGGATTTTGGAAGTAAGAACCTGAAAAATTGGTTCTCCATTAGGAAATGAAATTCCACTGCATACATTTTCCTTACAGTCGACAGGGGATTCTTCTCTGTTGAAGACAGTTTCCAGCTAGTTAGAGTGTGGATGAATTCCCCCCCCCCCCACCTCCCAGTAAGGAGTCATCATGTGTCAGTAATTTTAGTAGGAGGTCCTCCTCTGTTTTGCGGGAGTAGATCCTGCTTGCTGAAGTTGGCTGATTGCTGTCTAAACTAAAAAGTGAAGGTATGAGCAGGAAGGTAGGGTATTACAAAAATCTCTTGTCCTGGAAAAAGGTGATGGAATATATGGAACGGTATTTTGAAGTGTTTCTTATTGTCCTTTTGTGAAGAAAGCATGGCTCCCCTCCCTTAAGAAACAGTTTTATGAGGTTTCTGGACATTCTGGTTGCTTTCTTGCATTGTAAAATATGCCTGAGGTCTTCCAAAACATAGCAAATGTATGTGGAGAATTTTAAAAGCAATCAGCATTAGCCATGGGGCACGATGGGGTGAATGCAGTCTCCATGGTCCACAGAAAGTCTACGCAACTCTCAAATGCTAACAGTTGCCTACTCCATCTCAGAGGATGCTTGTATTTCTCAAGGGGAGGAGAGCTTGTTTTCCTTTGGTTTCTTTCCATTTATTTATTTATTTGTTTATTCAGTTTGTTCTATTTATTACGTAGCATTTTATCCTGGCAAGATTTTATTGTATTTGGAGGTTAAATAATGTTTTTGAAAATGAACTTCCTAAGCTTGGTTGATTTATTTTTGTTTTGTTTTTTGTTTGGCAGAATATAAATATTTTAATTAAATCTTTAAAATATTAACATTAAAATGTAGTTATTTTTGTTCTCATTTATTAATTTATTTCATTTGTATATAACCTGACACCTAAAATGAGTCCAAAGTGTTCTAATGAATTAATAATGTTGCATAGCATTGTTAGTGTTCTTCAAGAGTCACAGACTTTACTTGATTTTTTTATACCTAGAACAAAAATAAGAACAATTCAGGAGATTTGAAACCTACTAGTCTTCTTAACATAACAAGTAAACATATTATGTAAGTAGACAACATTTTCATACAGGTCTAAACCTATTTTATATATTATAAGTTCATTAATAAAGTCTTGTCTCTTGATAGGGATGATGTCTACAACTTTAACTTAAGTGGATTTGATGAACCTACAATAAAGCTTGGAGTAAGATTACCATATCAGCAATTAATATATGAAAAATATAAATAGATAATCTATAGCAGGGTGATCTCTTTCGGTAGCAGTACAATCATGAATGTGCAGCCCAAACTGACCTTTACAGTGAGCTCAGCACCCTACCCCTAGCCCTTTAATCTGCTTTTTGCACAAGCCCTTACATCCCTCTCCAATTTCTGAACTTGCCTACCCTGGTTCTGGAGGTTTGTTTTGTTTCATTTTAATGGTTGTTTTTATATTCTATTGTTTTAAATTGTTTTAATCAGATTGTTATATGTGTATTATATTTTTAAATATGTTTTTAGTTTGTAAACTTTCTTGTGTTGGACTTGGTCCCACTTGTAAGCCGCCCTGAGTCCCTTCGGGCAGATGGTGGCAGGATATAAAAATAAAGTTGTTGTTGTTGTTATCATGGCATGTGATAGTTAATCTGGTCACAGATTTCTAAATACCATTCAAGGAAAGAAGGTTATTTAGATCGTAATTGTAATTTTGCCACCATGAGATATGTCATTTGAAGTTTTCTGTGCTTGACTTTAATTCAGGTTCCACATGCCTCCAACCAAAGACCATTTAGAAGGGCAAAATGATAGCTGGTGCAAAAACATTGATATGAATTCGTTAATTTTCTTAATGTGTTGTAAATTTTGACATGGATATTCTTATTTATTATTTTGTGTATTTAGGTCAGTGTTCCCAACTTCTAGTTCTGCAGGTGTTTTAGACTTCAGGTCCCACTCAGGTCCCACTCAAGGCAGATTAGTCATATTAAGTATAGTATCAATACTAAGTGCAGCATTAAAACTCTGCTCTTTATTTTAAAGGGATGATCTTTAAAAAGAAAAGGACAGAAAATCATCATAAGAATTGTTTTGATGTTTATATTTTAGATTCAAGAATTTCATCTTACTAAGTTGGAAGCTACTAAGATGGAAGTGACTGCAGATCTTTCAAAGAAAATGTAAGGATACATCATTTCCAATTGGTAGAAAGATGGTTAGACTGAATGCCAATATACAATTTCATAATACAAATACTTGATGGTAGCATGTTGGAAAAGACATCTCTAACACTTCCATGGCTCAATCTATGCCCAAAGTAGTAATTTTTCCAGATTTCAGAGTCACCAAAAATTAAATTCATGCAAACCGAGTATTTACTTCATTTGTAATTGTTGCTATAACTTATTTCTTATTCATTTTAGGAATCACGATACTCAAAGAAAAAGCATAAGCCAAAAGAGGCAAAGCAATAAGGTATTTTAGAAAAGGAAATAGTTTGTAAAATAACTCCAGCATTTGGATCCAATTTTTATGAAGATATTACAAAAAGGCTACAATAAAAATGAATTAATGGATGCTCCAAGGTGTAGAGCTCCTAGCACAGATCAAAGAAAACTGTTCTACATTTTTCTCCTTGATGAGTCTTTCCCTCTCTTTGTTTAGAAAATGTAAGAGGTTGAAAAGTTGAAGAAGACAACATTGTCTAGACTTGTATTAATGTGGCAAAAAGTGGCAGGATATAATGCTTTATCTGGAGTGCCTCTCAAGTTTGTATTATTATTGTGAATGGCTGTTATGAATGTTGCTTCCTTGCATTCATTTGAGCTCTGAGAAAACTTTATTCCCTTTCTATGAACCTATTTGTGTGCTTTGTGTTTACACTCCGCTTCCAATGGAGGATCACAATTATATTTTATGTTGTCCCATGTCCATTGATGGCATGAAATAAAATCAGTCATCATTGTCTTCTCCATCATCACTATTACCACATAGCTATTTCTCTGCACTAATTTACAAACACTCATTGAACAGTAAACTTATTACATAGGTAGGATCCTTTGTTGTTCAAGGGCTAGAATAGTCAATTCTTAAATTGAACTGCGCTATAAACTATCTTTTAATTGCCTTCTTTGAGGGGGGGCAGTAATGGTAAAACTTCTATCTGACATATCAGTTCAGTTTCTACTACATTAAATTATAGGGGTTGGTGCCTTAAGATTTTTTGGCTTGATTACTTTTAAATTATCTAGTTCAAAATACTGTACAATTGCTATTATAGTCTTAATTATTTTACTTGCGGGACTTAAATAAATCACAGCTACTTTATTTGACTGATTTTGATTGATCTCAGTGGGATTTGTTTTAAGAACTCAATCATAATTAAATGGAATAGATCCTACAGATCTTCCTTTGTTCTTGTTTTACAGAATAAGACTAATAGAAACAAGAAACATCTTTTTAGTGACACAGATACAGAATATAGAGGTGATGACACTAAAACAGATATTAGCTGGCTAAGAGAGTCCAACAGAAAGCCTAAACCCCAACTTATAGATTATAGCAGAATGAAAAAAAAGAAAATTAAAATTCTGGAAGCAAGTAAGCAAACTAATTATTATGGTGTTTAAAAATGTCACTTTTTAATTCACTTAAGCAATTATTGTGTTATCATATGCAAAAATGCTGATGGCATGGCATTACCTGTTTTATTATCCTATAGCCTTAAGACGTTTATGTTCAGTATGTTTAAAGCATGTCTCATTAATACTACTACTACTACTACTACTAGTAATAATAATAATAATGATAATGATAATAAATTTCTTACCCACCTCTCCTTGTGATTCAAAACGAATCCCAGCATACTAAAAGCACATCATCTTTCTATTCTATTAAAATACACAGAACAAAGGTTAAAATATAGTAAATACAAAATGTTGCTACTTCTTGATAGGGTAAAAGTGCTATGAAAATCACATACAATTTATTTTGCAATGTATCACTTTTGGCTACCTAAAATGAAAATATCATATAAGCAATACTTGACCTTGTCTCATGGAAGCCTCAAAATCTAGTTCTATGGTGTTTAAAATCAGCAGTTTGGTATAATATGATAATAAATGTGGAGAGGAAATATTAAACTAAATTTCTATTATCTTTAAACTACCATATTTACTCACATCTAGTATGCCATCAAATCTAATATGCACCCTAATTTTAAAACCCCAGAAATTCCAATATTATTCCTTGGTGCATAAGAAGCCAGTCCTCACTTGAATTCCCGGGCTTCCATGACTGTTCGGCCGTCCACCCCTCCCTCTTTCTGGATGGGAGCAGCAGTATTTGGCCCTTTCTTCCTTTCTGGGGCTTGAAACTGGTGCCCATTTTGGAGGCACATTCTAATTTTGGCAACATAATTTTGCCAAAAAAAGATGTGCATTTGACGGTACTTGCCTTCGCAGTGTTTTTTCTTGGAAGATGTAAGGTTGAGCATTCTGACTTGGAAATTATGTCAGTGTTTTCTTTCCAAAGACATATCACAAAATGAAACACACTAAATGCAAGGCAATTAGGCAAGGAAAATCATGTTCTATGTGGAATAAATGTTTTCCATCACTTGAGGGAAGACTTTTTAAAACATGTGAAAGGTTTGATCCTGACTGATGGGCAGGAGTGATACATCCACTCACCAATGGCCATTACAAGTTACAAACAAGATAGGTTCTGTAGGTTTGTTCTTAAGTTGAATTTGTATATAAGTCGGAGCAGATACATTTTAAAAGTGTAACTCAATCCAAAAATGTATGTATGTTAGTTTTGGATAGTATGGGGAAGAGTTAACACCCCTGTGGTGTTTGTTTTGCTGTCTGTGCTCCTGTTCAAAAGATTTCACCTCACTTTCTGTCTCTGTAATAATTGGATTTTGAAAATTTTGGCTTGTTGTGGAAACAAGAATTGGTGATAAAGCTTCAATTGAGAGACCTTTTCCCCACGATTACTTTTCAGGAGTGAATTTCCCTTCATAAGGATGAATTTTTTAAAACTTCCTGTTGTCTCACCCCTGCTCTTAACTATGAGTCATTTGTAAATCAGATGTTTGTAACTCATGGACTGCATGTATATGGTAAACTTTCTTATTTTACATTAATTTTAGATTTCTGTATGAAAGTTGTCAGGGTCATATTTAAGGACATGCGAAAAGATGAACTGAAGTTTTAAATGCATTTTCTGATTATTGACCTAAACAAACAGTACCCCTTCACTGCATTTAATGTTTGTTTGTTTGTTTGTTATTTGAAAGAGAAAACTTCCCCACCCAGGAGTATGAGGGGAACATTTCAACAAAATGAAACCATAAAAAATACGGTACAGTAAATTTTTGGATTTTATATATTAAGAAGCATTGAGATTTTGTTTACTGACCTAAAGATTTAAATAATCCGATTCCTGAAACTAAACCTATCCATTCTGCATTGTTTACAGGACCTCTTATTCTGTGAATGAACTGGTACTTTTCCTAATAACCGGGCCGTAATTTTGATTTATTCTCTCTTGCTTTAGTGCTATGTAAAATACTGTACAGCATGTAAAACTTCTAGCAGTGCCATTTTTAAGCCCATCTTTCAACTGGCAACCTAATCATCTTACCTGCTTGAGGGAAAGAAGAAATGTGCAGCATGTGTGAAAATCTACTGTGTGTAAATTTTTTGGAGCCAAACACTATTTGTGATTCTAAGAATAGGTGTTTAATTCTTCACTGATATAGCCTCCATTTTATTTTTTTGAACTATTATGAGTGAACTGTTTTAGGCCATAAAGTCAGCATACTTTCATATATTTTTAAAATGTTGTTACCATATTAATACAATTTTGAATTTTGTTTCTAAAGAAACCAATTTCTAAAAACCAAAGTGACAGTGATAGAGAAGAAGAAGCACGACGTTCCAGACTGAAGCCAAAGAGAAAAGCAGCACTAGCCAAAAAAAGTTATAAAGAATTCTCAGATTCAGAGAGTGGCATAGAAGAAGAATCTTCTGAAAACCTAGTTAAAAGAGGCACTTTAAAAGAAAATGTAAGCTAAAGTTCAGCTGTATTTTGTCTGTCTGTCATGCCTATTTCTGATATGACATGCTTGCTATAGATAGTATGTATATGTAGTTGATAACATTTTGTCCTTGCAGCCAGAACCTAAAAGTATAAAAACAAAAGCAGTTAATCAATCAAAGGCACAGCAGAATATTTTTTCCAGTGAACCACCTAAAGGAAATTTGGTAAACCAACATAAAAACACTGCTATATCAAATGATTCAGGATCAAAACAAAAAATGGAATTATCATCTCTACCTTCATTTGAAAGTCCACCTTCTCTTGAGATAATGAGATGTAAGTTTTATATTTGTACTTGTATATTTATTTGTTTTATAGCTTACTGGGTAACAACATTATCATGAATTTGGTAAAAACAACATACGCTTCTTAAGATATTCCAGATTATTAGAATTTACTTTTTAATTGCACACCCCAGTGCTTTTATTGCTGTAAATCTCCAGCGCATCTTCCTTCAAGGTCTAGCATGGAAGGTTTTCTACCTGTATGTAAATTTGTCAGTAAGTAGGTAGACACTTCTAGATTTCTACAGTTTGGGTTAGATTTAGATTCTATCTTGATCTAGAGTTAATGTTCGATATATTTCTTCTAGTGCGTGCTTTACATACCTGCTCAAAGATTAGGTAGATTTCACTTATGAAAACTGGGCAAGAAAGAAAAACCTCTCTTAGAACAGTTGGGGTGTTAGCTTGGAAGAGAAAAAATAGTAAGCAATCACAAATGCTGCACAGATCACAGAACAATTCTGAAAAAGAACATAAATCAAGTCATTCTTAGAGTTTTTGTTACAGCTTCTTGACTCTTGCTGCTGAATTGGTTGGATAGGAAGAGGTGTTAGACAAGATAAAAAGGTAAAACTGGAGATACACTATTTCTTCAAGTCTAAGATGAACCCCCTCCTTATAAATATCTCTCAAAATGTGTGCTTTAGAATAACCTTTTAAACATATACAGTTTTTTTCTCATGTATCTGGTACTGAAATTGCTGTGCACGTTACAATCAATGTCACCTTAAAACAGAAGAAATACAGTTAATATATCACAATCCATTAGTGACAGGAAGTAATAGCTTTTCATAGAAACGTAAGTAATAATGAGGAAAAAAATCATAGATGAAATTTTTGGAACAATATAATTTTTTATAGAAGAGTAAAGTATGTCATCACTAGAAAGGGGCTGTAGTTCAGTCTGGAATGACTCAATGGCAGAGTAAATGCTTTGTGTGGAGGAAAGGTCCATGTTTCATGGCCACTCCCTGTATTTAAGGCAAAACATATATTTTACATCAAAATGGTTCTGGAAGCCTCTGTTTTTAACAGGATCCCAAATGGACTCAAAAAGGCAAATGAGAAGTTCTTGCTACTCAAAGACAAATACAGGGCTAGGTGAATTGATACAACATAGCATTGGATTGTATTAGGAGTGTAGAACGTGGTCATCCGTGTGTTTTGCATTGTAAACCAATTAGGTCTGATGGTTATCCCATTTAATCCCATTTAATTCCAGCCTCATGAGGGCACCCTAGGTTGGATTACCACTTCTCCTTTCTGTTTCCCAGCTAACATCACACTGCAGTCCAATAACTCTCTCCATCATTCATAAGGTAATATACTCAATCTAACTTTAGGCAACATATTTCCTCCTGTCTTTGTCTTCCATCTGTGATGATGAGATGACCATTTCACCTCAACTAATCACACATACAGTCTGCCTATAAAGATATGTTCATAGTTATTTAGGTATATTCATCTGAGGAAGTAGAATTATGCTACCAACTTCTTTCTGTCAGTCACTAAAAAAGGTAGGTCATACAGCGACAAATGACATTACCATTTCAACCCTTAGATTACCTCTAGGTTGTCAATGGTTGTCAATGAACCGGCAAGAGCGTTAAGATCGTCCGGGGAGGCCCTGCTCTCGGTCCCGCCAGCGTCACAAGTGCGGCTGGCGGGCACGAGAGACAGGGCCTTCTCGGTAGTGGCCCCTCGGCTATGGAATGCGTTACCAGTGGACATCAGGCAGGCCCCTTCGTTGCTGGTGTTTCGAAGGAGGGTTAAGACGTGGCTCTATGAGCAGGCATTCGGTTAGCTATGCAGTAACAACCACCCCAATAATGACGGCATTGAACAAGGATTGAATTAAGGACTATGAGAACGGGATCTGATTCTAAGTAGGCGTTGATGATTATGTGTATTGTTTGTCGATGTACGTCTTATATATTGTTCACTGTTTATTTTTACTGTAAACCGCATTGAGTCGCCGCTCCAGGCTGATAAATGCGGTATACAAATGGAGTAAATAAATAAATAAATAAATAAATAAATAAATAAATAAATGGCATGTTCCCTTTTGAATAAACTAGCTAATCCTAACTCGTGAATCAATATTAAATGGGCAGTAATAATAATAATAATAATAATAATAATAATAATAATAATAACACTTTATTTATATTCCACTCTTCTCACCCCAAAGGGGACTCACTGGCATGAGAAATAAGGGCCACTGTACGGAAGTTTGAGCAGTCTTTCGCATTTCCCTTTTTTGGTATGGGGATATAAGTTGATTTTTTCCAGTCTGATGGCCATTCTTGTGTTTTTCATATTTGCTGGCATATGGCATGCATCACCTTGACAGCATCATCTTTTAAGATTTTAAACAGTTCGGCTGGGATCCCGTCGTCTCCTGCTGCCTTGTTGTTAGCAATGCTTCTTAAGGCCCATTCAACCTCACTCCTCAGGATGTCTGGTTCTAATTCATTCACCACACCATCAAAACTATCCTCGATATTATTATCCTTCCTATACAGATCTTCTGTATAGTCTCACCACCTTCTCGTGATCTCTTCAACTTCTGTTAGGTCCCTGCCATCTTTGTTTCTTATCATACCAATTTTTGCCTGAAATTTACCTCCAATGTTTCTAATTTTCTGGAAGAGGTCTCTTGTCCTTCCCATTCTGTTGTCTTCTTCCACTTCTATGCACTGCTTATTTAAAAATAGTTCCTTATCTCTTCTGGCTAACCTCTGGAATTGCGCCTTTAACTGGGCATATTTCCCCTTATCACTATGTTGAATTACACCTTATTATTTAGGTTGTGAGGAGTACAGAGAGGAACAATCTACTGAAGAACATATATCACCAGGAAGATCATCGTTATCATCTTTGTTAACATCTGAAAAAGAGTTTATGTCTGAAAAGGAGAAATCTTTAGGTGATACTAAAAATGCATCTGATGTAGAAGAAATTAATACAGAAAGCAAACAATTAAAGAAGCTTTCAGAAAACAGCAGAAAGCTGGAATTTGAAACTGAAGATTTGTCACCTGCTTCAAGCTCATCTTCTTTGGTAAACATTTTCAGTGCATTAAAATATATTTATTTTGTATTTTTATTTGAATTCAGATTCTACATTTAAACAGGCTATTCTTTTGAGATGTGACCAAGATTTAAACAAATTGGTTCAAATTAATTTCCATTTTCAGTAGGTAAAGTTCTCATGCAAGGTATAGGACCCTTGTAACTTGGGAAAGGAGGGGATTACAGTTGTCTCCTTTTTTACCTTTGGAATAGGTTATATGAGTTAAAACGCTGTATAAATGTCTTTCCCCACATTGTATCCTTTGTCACTCATAAATATTTAGGATATTGATGCTTTATCCATGTTGCTATACCTGTGGCTGTATAATAAAAGATAAAAATCACACTCATGCGGTCATACATGCAAATGATTGTGCTGTAATTTGATTTTCCTGGTGTACTTCCAGCACCGTTCCATTGAATTCAAGGGGGCTTAACCTCGAGTAAATATTTTTGGGAATGTGGCCAAGCCTGTTACTCCCAGGTGGCTTGTATAGGATCACAGATTTAGAGAATGATATAGTTGCTTCAGTTGACAAAATACCTATATAAATTTGTCTGTAACATCATTACCAATTATCTTTTCTTTGTAGCCCAGACTTAGTCCCTTAAATACAGGGGGAAAATTAACTAGTAACCAAGATGCAGATGTTACTAAAGTTCAAAAGAAAATATGTGATATTGGTGAACCAGTGAACATAAAGCATTACTCTTTAAACAAATCATCTGATATAGAACTAGAAATATTTTCTGAAAATCTCATGAAAAATAGAGGAAAGGTATGTCACACTTGGAACAGTATTATCTTCTTGAATATGGTACTATATTATATATACTTGTGTATAAGTCTAGAAATTTTAGTTAAAATCAACAACAAAAAAGTGGATCAGCTTCTCCATGCTTCGATGTAAGAACATATTGTACTTTCAGTCCTATTAAGAAATAACTTTTCCCTTTCTTTGACTAGAGTAGGGAGAGTTTAGTACTTCCCAGGAGAACCTAAAAGAAGCTGTTATATTCTGTTTGTCCTGGCATGGCTTCTGGTCATTTTAAATGCCGAGACAGGGAAAAGGCATTGATGAGAGCTCTTTGGTGCTTTCCTCTTTCTTAAAGGAGCACCTAGATCATAAAGACATAGGCGCTTTTTTAAGGTTCTCCCCAAATAAAGCATCATCATCATCATCATCATCATCCCAAGATGCTCAAACGATAGATTTTTTTTCAGGGCCTTATCGATAGTCTCTCTCCCTTTTGCCAAGATGCGTGTATTAGTCTATGAATATTTATATTCTTTCTACCATCTACTTACAATATACTATAAAAATTTGATAGCCTTTGTTTGCATGTTTTCACTTAACCAGGAAATGGTTTGAGGGTTTCTGGTGTAGAAATTTCTGAAGTTTGATTCTTTAAAAAAACACACACACACACAAAACAAAACAAAAACACATTTACAGACCTAATGTAATAATTTTCTGTACTAAATTTTTGTACTAATATAATCATATATAATGTATATGATTTTGGTAATTTTAAATATAATTTCATAGTGCTCTATACCTGGGAATTTAGGTATTGGTGTAACATGATTGTATTTCTGATGTGACTTGTGGATGTTGCTTTGAGATGAATTTTGCATGTTAGTTTAATATAAGATGATTTGCAAATAATAATGTCTGTTTTGACTTATATTACATAACCATGTTTAGGCTTCTGTATCGGTATCTCAGTCATCTACTCCCAGAAAAAGCAAAGAAAACTTATGTCATGAAGAATTTCTTGCTCACATTCATGAATCAGGTACATACATTTTATTTTCTAAAATAAAATGAACATAATAGATCTAAATTACATGACACTGAACTTATGTAAAGTTTCTTCTTTGTACCTTAGATGACTGGCAAAACAGGTTGCTCCAGACTATTTGATGGTTTTCTAAAACCATGATTACATATTATTGATCTATCCTTGACTCTTCCTACTCAAAATACCGCTTTAGTTTTGCCTATTCTGCGTTACCATATTGCCACATTTTGATTACTTAAACAAGCATAAGTTGTGCTTATGGATTTTGTTTGGCATAAAGAAATTTGAGATCATTGCATGTGATTAGTACATTCTTACACATTCTGCACATAGCTATAAAATTCTGCATCTGACTACTGTAATCTGTAATAGTAATATTGATGTTTTCAAATTAAAGGGCCTACAGTATATACTAATTTCAAGAGGTTGTATCAAGAGGACACTGAAGCTGATTCTGATGAAGAAGAAATCAGAAAAGAAAAAACAAAAAGAAAGCTACTTCCTAGAAAGCTGTTTAAAACTGAAAATAACACTTATAAAGGTCAGCTGGGGTAAAGTTACTTCTAAAATAATTAGGGATGGAAATGATACACAGAGCACTTGGAACACGTCCAGCTGCACTCTTTTCCTGCCGTGGTTCTCAGCATGTGGGTCCCCAGATGTTTTAGCCTTCAACTTCCAGCTGGCTGTGATTTCTGAGAGTTGTTGGCCAAAATACCTGGGGACCCACAGATTGAGAACCACTGCTATAGATGTTGCTGATCAGTCAAAATGCAGATCAAGGCATAGGGATTCAACCTATGTTTGATGGGGCTCCACTTTCCCTGAAAACCTGCAGTGACCAGGTTAAAACTCTTAAATCAACTGCACCCATTTCTTGAAACATTGAATTTGACCACAGTATTGCTGTGTATACCATACAAGACTATTGTACTTTGCTGCACTTGGAATTTGCTGCTACCTTAGAAAAGGGCTTGGAAAATTTCAGCTAGTACCATGAGCTGCAGCTAGTGTTAACTAGGGCATATTACAGGAATCATATTCCCCCAGCAAAATAGCTCCACTGGCTGCTAGTTTGTCTCCAGGTACAATTCAAATTCTGATAGTGATTTTAAAAACCCAGTATGGCTCAGATCCAGGCTATTTAGCAGACAGTATATTTCTATATGAAACTACTTGTAGACTGTATTGATGGTTTTGAATTGTTTTAGATTGAAGTGTTTTAGTTGCTTTTTAAATATTTAATGGTATTTTAAAAGAGTATAGTTTTGATATTTTGATATTGCCAATAGTTTAATCCCATTTTAATGTTCACTTTTTGTTCAAAACATTTTCATAGCAAGATCAGTGCAAAAAATTCTTAACTAGAATTATTTGTTTGCAGAGTTCTTGCTATGAAAATGTCTTATTATCATTTGTCTGTAGTAAGAAATTAAAAAATGTTTAATTTACCTTTTTCAGTAGGAATTCGTATTGCTAAAGGGTGAAACAAAAAGAGAATTTAAAGTTATTTGGAAAAGATAACATAAATTCACCTTTATTCTTTTAAAACATCCACTATACTCACAATCATAATATATTTCATTCCTGGGTTGTTATAGGTTTTTTCAGGCTATATGGCCATGTTCTAGAGGCATTCTCCTAGTTCCAACAGACCTCACTAGCTCGGAGGATGCATGCCATAGATACAGGCAAAACGTCAGAAGAGAATGTCTCTAGAACATGGCCATATAGCCCGAAAAAACCTACAACAACCCAGTGATTTCGGCCATGAAAGCCCTCAACAATACATATTTCATTCCCTTTTTTGAGTACTTGATGAATAAAATCAACCCTAGAGTAAGAGAAAGACTAGCTTTGGTCTTATTTTTTTTTTCTCAATCTATGTAACTCATTATGATGCCTTTTTGTAATTTCTTGGTAAAAAAAACCAACCTTGGAGCCATTTTAAAAAATTACTGCTTCTTTCTGTAATGGCTTATTTTGTTAATTTCCTCTTTTCATTGTCCAATGCAAAAGATAATTTATAGGTCAAGAACAAGAGTAAAAATAGGTGCCCTTAAGGAACACACCCTCAGGCATTTATTTTTCCACTGATCTTTCTAGACTATATATACAAGGTTGTTCCTCAAATAGAACCTAAAATTAAAATACTTGTTCTCAGGATGGATGGAAGGACCAATCCATAATGTCTGGGTTTAGCCTGCCTGTCAAATTTGACTAGCAGAAATACAACATTCTTTTTATGGTTTTTTTCATTGAGCATCTACCCTTCTCCCTTCCGTTCTTTTTATTCTTCCCTAACAAACCAGATGCATTTTACTCTTCTCCTGAGAAATTAGGCAAAATTGTTAGTTTTGTTAGAGTCTTTCCTTCCTCAAGATCTCAGTCTACCATCTTCTCTGCCAGAGAATAATGGAGGGATTGGCAGCTGCTATGTGCGACCTTCCAATGCTTCCATAGGTCCCATACTGGGAGAAAATATCCATAAATATCTAGAAATCTGGCTGCCCCACCTGACTACAGGACTATCTGTCTAAACGACTGCCATAGTAAAAAGATTGTGCAAGATGGCATGTGTCGTATTACATTGTCTTTCCCCCCACAGTTTCTGAAAGTACGTCTACTGTATCTGTAAATGACATATCTGTATTTGGTGGAGATGGCTGGGATGCTGACAGTTCAAGTATAGGAATGATTTATCAGAAGTTTCATAAAGAGCTTTCTAGAAAAATCCAGGTGAACCTTTTATGTATATCTAATGCACATCTTTATTGGTATCTGTTTGGAGTCTGTATACTGCTGATATTTCTTAAGGTGCAGCTTGTAATATAGACAGTTCTTGAACTCTGTTCAGTTCCCATATAACTTCTGCCTTTATGATATAGAACGCTTATTTTCCAAATGTTCCCATTTTTTCTACTTAATTCTCATCCAACTACAACATTAATAACCTCATTAAATATTCACAGGAGGCTAGAGGGGTGTGTGGAAGTATCTTCTTGATGTTCCTGTAGTATCAATTTTGTTTTATTTATTTATATAACATTTTATTTTCTTTTTTGGTGGATAGCCTTTTAGAGTTGTGCCTCAAATAGTGCCCATTCACACAGTTATTTTGTCAATTTTGTTCCTTCATGACAACTAAACTCTGATAGTACAGAGGCACTACACCTATATACATGAGGCAAAAAGTCTGAATGGCTAACTAACTGGGTAAGAGGTACAATGCCCTGGCCCTTTTATTTAGGATTCGATATTCAGTTTTATTTAGGATTCAATATCGCCTGTGGAACTGTCTACCCAGTGACATTAGATTGGCCTCCTCCCTCTTGTCCTTTAGAATGAAACTCAAAACCTGGTTATGGGACCAAGCATTCGAACAGTAGAGACAGCAATTTAGAATTAGACATAATTTGTGTGATTGACAATGGACTGACCTGGACTATGATTTCAAACCTGCGTGATTTAAACAATGTTTTAGTAATTTTAAGTTTTAATTGCTTTTATCATTTATTACTCTTGTTGGCATTGAATGAATTGTGAAGTCACCCTGAGTCCCCCTTCAGAGGTGAGAAGAAATGGATACAAATATGCAAAATAAATAAATAAATAAATATTTGACAAACAGACTTTTTCCTTTAGTGGCCTCTATATCTATGTTGCCCACTATAGTTCAGCTAGCAAAGACATTCATGACTACTGAAGTAATGCTGGACTATTCTCCAGTAATACTAGAGAAACCTATCTCTGCTTGGAGATATTTATATTATGCTGTGGTGATGTTGCATTGCGGCCTAGGAACAAACTTCCAAGCCTTTATGGCCTTTCATCATCATGTGTTGTGGAATAAAACAATCTTATTTTTTAACATCTGCCAAAGGACAAGCAAGAATTCCCAAATGGATCTAATATCAGACTATATTCTTTTATAAACAGCAGCTCAGCATGTTATGCTATAAGCCGGTATGCCATTCAAAATCCAGGTCAACCTTGACTTCAAAGTATGCCAGTGTTTGACTATTCAATAACAGTAATACATGTAACATTACAGTGATTCATGTAACATAGAAAAATATGTAATAAATGTAATAAATAAATAACATTATCCCATTTTGTACCAAGAGCTTGTGATATCAAACAAAAAACAACTAGTGGTATCCTTAATAAAAACATAGTATTTGAACAACACTTCAGTCAGAATCCAAGGCCAACCAGGAGATAAAATAAAAGGATTGTATCAGGATTTGACAGTAAAGACTGTTCAGAGGCAACAAATTAAAAGACGAGTTGTTTGCCTGTGTAATTTTTGAGGCGGTCACCTATGTATACACAAGTCCGCAAGCAAGATGTGAGGACAATCGTCCTGTTCCTCTGTTGTTGCCCAGCAAATGATATATGGAGACATTTTAATGGGCCTTGTAATTTTTAAGAAGATTACTTTTATTTTTTTGTTTTCAGAGCCGAGCAAAGAGAATTGACAATTTTACAAAATTATCATTGAAAACAGTTCACCGGCATATAGATACCATGAATAGTGAATTACATAAGCACAGGTTAGTGCAGTAGTTTGTTAAAATCAGTATAGCGTGTTGATATAAATGAATGTTTTTTTGTACATGAGCATTTGGGCTGGAATAATTAAAAATTCCTTGGCTCCTCCTTCCCAAGCCAGCCCCTACAGGCTCCTAAATACATTACATAGAAGGTCCCAGCTGGGCTGTGGTGTGGGCAGAATTAGGGAGAGGATATTTGTAGTTGTGAAAGCTGGTTGAAATGTTATGCAGACATTCTAGATATCATGGACTGCCAAAATAATTGCATTAGAGCTGGGTAGGTACAATCAAGATCTGAATAAAACCCTGATCTTATTTTTGGCATACTTCTAGTTGATCTTGTATTTATTTTTTATTTTTTTGCAGGGATCAACAGCTGGAAAATCTTCATTCTCATCTGATTAAAGAGATTGAAAGTTTTGAAAGAGATTCACAAGCATTAAGGAATATGGAAAAGGAATTTTCAGTATGTTCTTGTATTCATAGAAATATTCAACTATCTGAATTTGGTATTATACTTCAATGTAGAATGTTAAAAAGAAGTGTTGTTTAAACTGCTGTTAGAAGGCAAAAACATCTGTAATATATGGTAATAATTGTATTGAATTTATTACCTGCCACTCCCTGCGGCTCAAAATTATCGAAATCTGCCCTCCATCATAATTTAAAATTGTACAGATACTTAGCCATTACACATCAGTTAATTCTTCCAGAGCTCACACTGTGCATTGTTTGAAGGCTGACTCATGTATGCAGTTTATCATCACGATTACTTTGTTGTTGAGATTATCAGGTAGCTCTTGTCTCTTAAGAGCACTCTGATGAAGAGATAAGGAACAGAAACCTTTACCTGTTAACATTTTTCTGTGTGGGTGCAAAGGTCCAAAATCAGGGTCATTAAATACACCAGGCAGCATGAAGCACACTTTGAAAAGTAATGACAATGCAACTCAGGATGTTCTTGCTTACCTAATTCACATTACTGTAAATTTTCCCAGATATGCAAGCTGTGGGTCAAGTATCACATTAAAAGTCTGATAAGTGGCAACATCTGTTGGCTTTAGAATGTCAAAACAGAGAAATGCATCAGATGTAATGTATAGTATGCTCAGGAACAGTTTCTTGGAAAGTTTAAAACACTTTATTAAATAATGTAGTCACTGATGTTTGTGCCTGATTTTATTTTGGTAATTATTTATTTAGATATTTTGTTATAATCCTTTACAGTGTTTAAAGGAGTGGTTCTCAACCTATGGGTCCCCAGGTGTTTTGGTCTACAACTCCCAGAAATCCCAGTCAGTTTACCACCAACCTTTCAGTCAGCATGTTAGGATTCTGGTAGTTGAAGGCCAAAACATTTGAGGACTCACAGATTGAGAACCACTGATTTAAATGTAAAAGTAAAGGTTTCCCCTGACATTAAGTCTAGTCTGGGGGTGGTGCTCATCTCCATTTCTAAGCCAAAGAGCTGGCGTTGTCCATAGACACCTCTAAGGTCATGTGGCCAGCATGACTGCATGGAGTGCCGTTACCTTCCCGCAGAAGTGATACCTATTGATCCACTCACATTTGCCTGTTTTCAAACTGCTAGGTTGGCAGAAGCTGGACCTAGTAGCGGGAACTCACCCCGCTCCCCGGATTCGAACCACCAACCTTTCAGTCAGCATGTTCAGCAGCTCAGTGGTTTAACCAGGGGGCCCAGTGTTTACAGCAGTGGTTCTCAACCTGTGGGTCTCCAGGTGTTTTGGCCTACAACTCCCAGAAATCCCAGCCACTTTACCAGTTGTTAGGATTTCTGGGAGTTGACAGTGAAAACATCTGGGGACCCACAGGTTGAGAACCACTGGTTTACAGTCTCATAAACTGGATTTATGATGCTGAAAAAGTTTGAATTCATCTTTATTGTCATTGTACCAGGAAGAGATGAGTGAAGAAGCATCTCCTCTTCTACCAGCAGTGTTTTGTGACAAACAGTTGCAATGGTCCTTGCAGCTGCTTGTCAGAAATTGCCCTTGATTTTTGGTGTGTGGGGAATGATTCTTCACTCTTCCATTGCCTTAGGAATCTCTATGTCAGTGCTCCTGCCTGGCTTCTTAGATTGGTTGTAGGGACTTGCATACAGCTCTGTCTTAACTATATATTTTGCTTCAACATCTCAGCTATTTATATATTCCACCATAGGCAGCATGTTTCGACCAGTTTTAAAATGTACACACATAATTTTAACAGAAAACACTTTAAATAATTTGACAAAAGTGATAATTACAGCTGGCTAAAGCAGTGTGAAATGCATATGCAGATTTGAATAAAATCTATTAGACCTCAAGGGTTTTATTTGGTATTGAAATGACACCAAATCCAACCTCTTAGCAGGGAATATTCCACATCAGGGTTCCATAGCAAAGAAGGCCTTCTTCGAATCCTCCCAAGATTGTATTATGACTACTGGTGGAACACATAGGAGGGTCTCTTATGTAGATTTCAGTCGTTGTGAAAGCAAATAGAAACTGCAATTAAGTAGCCAACGTACCCATTTTTAAGAGGTACAAAACCCCTTAGTTCTTTACCTTGGGTTTCCTTCCCTTTCAATCTCTTCCTTTCTTATGTCACCTATTTCTCCTTTCATTCTATCTTTTTTCACTCAATCTTTCACTCTTACTCATCTCACACTCTCATCTTGCCTCATGTTCACCTCCCTTCCCTTTCATTCCCATTTGAAAAGATCCAATACCCAACACAGGGAAGCCTCATGCAACATTGCCTGTAGGTCCACTGGTAAAATGAGTATCCCATACCTATCTCCAGCTTAATTACTAGATAGCTTTGTGGCTCTTACCCTGTAGTTTTGCTTAATTTTCTCTTCTCACTTTTCTCTCACTCTGGATCTCACTAAGGTTTTTATTTAGTCTTTCTCTTTGTTCATTCTCCTCTCCCTAGTAATAAATAGCAAGTCTTTCTTGCTCTCTCTCCCTGCCACCCTTCCTCCTCTCCCTTCCCTCTGAAGTGTTTGAAGATTCTGGGAACTCTTTATAATGAAGTACTATATGAAGCTTTCTACAAAACCTCTGAGGAAAAGAATATCATAAGTCATTCCCCAGCTCTCCTCATAGGGAAACTATCACCAAATTTTACTTAACTAGAATTTAATTCATTCATGTTAAAGATTAAGTTATCTGAAGGTGCACATCTCTAGGGTTCCCTTAGTTTCAGTTATCTATGTTTCAGGATCTCGAAGCTTGATAGAGATGGAAATGTTATTGTTACTGTTATAGATGTAATATGATAAAGTACAAAATGAACTGTGATATTTTTAACAGTAAACAACCTAAAATCCAAACTTATGTTACATGTAATTGTAGAACTTTTCAAAGAAGCAATGTGAAGCATATAGCACATACAACAAAAACGAGCAACAGAGGTCAGTGTGCTTTCTTATTATTGGAACACATCATCATCAATACATTTGCTAATTTTTGTTACATTGTTATGTATGTTCCTGTTCTCTCAAGCACCATGTGCATGATGCTATGTAAACAAATGTACATAGTACTTGATAATAGTGCTCTACTTTATAAGACTTAAAATTTAGAAGAAAGGGACAAAAAGAACAAGGGGGATACAGCAAATATAGTGGAGGCATATGTATTGGTTTTAAATATGTCAAGTATTATTGTGTATACATTTTAATTCGTTTTAAATGTGGTATTTATTTGTCATGTCAGAGCAACCAGTCCATTATATTACATTTCTAACAGAACAAAGCAAACAAACAGAAAAATACACAACTTGTGACTTTGGTAGCTGGTTAAATGTCCTTTGACCAGTATCTGGCCACTTGGAGTGCTTCCGGTGTTGCTGCAAGAAGGTCCTCCATTATGCATGTGGCAGGGCTCAGGTTGCATTGCAGCAGGTGGTCAGTGGTTTGCTCTTCTCCACACTCGCATGTCGAGGATTCCACTTTGTAGCCCCATTTCTGAAGGTTGGCTCTGCATCTCGTGGTGCCAGAGCGCAGTCTGTTCAGCGCCTTCCAAGTTGCCCAGTCTTCTTTGTGCCCAGGGGGGAGTCTCTCATCTGGTATCACCCACAGATTGAGGTGCTGGGTTTGAGCCTGCCACTTCTGGACTCTCGCTTGCTGAGTGTTCAAGCGAGTGTCTCTGTTGATCTAAGAAAACTATTTCTTGATTTAAGTCGTTGGCGTGCTGGCTGATACCCAAACAGGGGATGAGCTGGAGATGTCTCTGCCTTGGTCCTTTCACTATTGGCTGCTACTTCCCGGCAGATGTCAGGTGGTGCAATACCGGCTAAGCAGTGTAATTTCTCCAGTGGTGTAGGGCGCAGACAACCCGTGATAATGCGGCATGTCTCATTAAGAGCCACATCCACTGTTTTAGCGTGGTGAGATGTGTTCCACACTGGGCATGCATACTCAGCAGCAGAGTAGCCAAGCGCAAGGGCAGATGTCTTCACTGTGTCTGGTTGTGATCCCCAGGTTGTGCCAGTCAGCTTTCGTATGATATTGTTTCTAGCACCCACTTTTTGCTTGATGTTCAGGCAGTGCTTCTTGTAGGTAAGAGCACGGTCCAGAGTGACTCTCAGGTATTTGGGTGCGCTGCAATGCTCCAGTGGGATTCCTTCCCAGGTGATCTTCAGAGCTCGGGATGCTTCTCTGTTCTTGAGATGAAAGGCACATGTCTGTGTTTTAGATGGGTTAGGGATCAGCTGGTTTTCCCTGTAGTAGGCAGCAAGAGCACCTAGAGCTTCGGAGAGCTTCTGTTCTAACATCTCAAAGCTCCCTGCTTGAGCAGTAATGGCACGATCATCAGCATAGATGAAACTCTCTGTCCCTTCTGGCAGTGGCTGGTCATTTGTGTAGATGTTGAACATGGATGGAGCAAGCATGCTCCCCTGAGGCAGGCCGTTCTTCTGTTTCCGCCATCTGCTTCTCTTGCCCTGGAACTCAACAAAAAAGCTCCTGTTTTGTAGCAGGTTTCCTATGAGGCAGGTGAGGTGGTAGTCCTTTGTGATATTATACATTTTTCTCAGGAGGAGGCGGTGGTTCACAGTATCATAAGCCGCTGACAGGTCTATGAAGACAGCTCCTGTGATCTGCTGCCTTTCAAAGCCATCTTCTATGTGCTGAGTCAGGTTCAGCACTTGCGATGTGCAGCTTTTGCCTTTCCTGAAGCCAGCTTGCTGTGGAATCAGACATGGGTCTATTTTTTCCATAATTCTATGCCAAATAAGTCTCTCCAGAACTTTGTAGAGGTGGCACAACAGGGAGATTGGTCTGTAGCTTTTTGGGTCATTACGGTCTTTGCCTGGCTTCAAGATGGCGATGACTCTTGCTTTCCTCCAGATTTTGGGGATCTGACAGGATGCAGTGCAGTTGTTCATCAGCTCCAGCAGCCAGCGCCTTGCTTTTGGACCAAAGTTCTTGATTTGTTCCATCCGTAGATCATCCAGGCCAGCTGCTTTGCCATTTTTACATTTATTGACATTTACATTTAAATGTGGTTTTAAGTCTATATTTCTAAGGCATCAAATGGCTGCCTGGTTATAAGCCACCTTGAGTCACCTTCAGGTTTGAGAAAGGCAAGATAGAAATATCGTAAATAAATAAATATGTACACTTATTTAAGTTAGTTTTTACATAAGTAAATCAACTGATTCAATATGTTTACTCTAAATGGGCTATCAAGAGTATTTAGACTACTATGGCAGTGTATGGTCAGTTCTACACAGCCATTCAAACTGAGTCTGGATATGGATTTAAAAAAGCTAGTTAGCTACATCACGCCAACACAAGCAACTCAGGAACCAGTTCTAGAATGCCGCAGTGGTCAATGAGATTAGCTAAATGTGGATCAGTCTGAACCCATAGCATTTTTTTTTTTCATACCTTGCCTGGAGCGATACGTTGATGAGCATGGGCAGGATGAGTGCTGATGGGCATCATCATGCCCAGTGCTCATGAATGCTGTAGTTTTTCTCTGGGGGGAGGTGTTTATATTCTAGCCAACTTTATCATATTGTATACGTTGTCTTTGATGTTATCTAAGCATCCTTATAAGGAAATGTGGATATGTTATATTCTACTTGTACAATCCAAATATTTTTTTAAATGACATTTTGATTTGTACCCTCTAAGGCTCCAGAATCTTAAAACATCGTTCAAAAAGAACATTTATGATACAGCTGACTGCGAGGAATTTGTTTTTACTTCTGAGGTATGTCATTTCTATATCAGTGCACCGAAAGGAAGAAAGCCTAATTTGTAGTAGCTTCCATTTTTCAGCTGGCATCCTGTCAGTATCTACTAAAATAGACCTGTTCAATGAGCAGTTGAATGGCTACTTAGCATGTATACAAATACAGCTAATAAAATTGATCTACTTTAGTTAAAACTAACAACAGTATTAGGCTGCAGTGTCCCTAAAAGTATAGCTAACAGAGTAATCAGTGCATTTGCAAGATAGCAAAGCATTCTCATGCTGAGATTCTCTTTTCAGAAATAATGCCCTCTGTTTCACATTAAGATTTTAAGAACTGGTTGAGAAAGTGCCAATTTCAGTGGCAGATAATTTAAGAAAAAATAGCTAACACAAATGTTCGATGTTTCCTTGGAAATGGTTAGTGTGCAAAGATAGTGGACTATTTTGCATGCTACTTGACAACAAACAGCTCAATTCCAGCTCCCCTGTAAGCATATTACATACTTACACACACACACATATTTCATACACAAATGTGTTGTTTAAATTTACAAAATGTAAAATCTACTTATAAAAGGCTTGTGTGGCTTCTTTGCTGTTATCACATTTATATCTGGAACTGGCTCTGTTTACCTTTCCCTTCCCTTGTTAAAAGGATGCAGCTAGTCTAAGACAGGCTTGAAATCAGGTACATGGCCAATTTAAATTAAAGGCATCTCACACCCCAAATATTTGTGTTTTACATTTTATACTAAGTGTTTTAATTGGACTGTGTTTTTATAAATGATATACATTGTTGTGAATCCTCTCTTGGGAGAAAGGTGGAATATTAATTAACTGATTTCCATCTCCTGTTTATATGTATCAGCATGTAGCCTTGCAACCTCCCATTTGGTCTTGGCTGACAGCAGATAATTCTACCGTGATAAATTTTGGACACTAAATCAGTCTCACAAACAATGGCAGAATTATTCACATAAGTCACTTATCTGCTTTGTTGCGCTCAGTTTGTTTCTTTTCAAATAGTAGACACATTATCTGATAGGTTGGTCTAGCAACCATGCCTAATATTAGACAAATTAGACATTAAACTAAAGACAAATGTTCAGCAACAATGAAATGTACCACAGAACTCTTTATTCTCAGAAGTTTGGAATCAAGGAGCATAGTAGATCCAAGAGACTATAGATAAGTGTATGGAAGGAGATGGTCTCTTCTCAAAGCATATTGCAATGCCTATCTTCCAGCAATATTGTACTGAGACTCTGAGAAGGCTGATTGTTTTTGAAATCACTGTGAAGCCACATGACTTGAACTTTCCCTCGATGACTGGATTAAAGATTGAATTAAAGTTTTGGTTATATTTTAGATGCATCAAATGAAAGCACATTTGAAGGGAGTCCAAGAAAGATTTCTTAAGGAAATGGTAAATATATATTTCATTTTGCATTATAATCATCTTTATATTGTTTATTAAAATAATTTTTAAAAGTAAAATCTAATATGATTTATTTTTAAAATCACAGCATGAAGAGGAATTGCTCAATGTTCGCAAAGGTCTCCAGTCACTTTTTATGGACGAAAGCCGACATTTCTAACATAGTAAAAGGGTGTGTATGTGCTTACTATGCATTTTGTAATTAGATTGACCCCATAATTTAGGAATGGAACATTTACTAGTTGCTTAAATCTCAGCATAGACAGCAGACAGTTCTTATATGAAATCTTTTCACTGTTTCTATGATTTTTGTAGATAAGAGGGGTATTTTTGCAATTTCTTAAAAGCCATTGGAATATTTTTTTTAGTCATAGAAGGATATAATCCGTAGGGGTGCCATCAAACAAAGCAAGGGCACAAGTGATGAGGAAGTTGGGGCCGGTGGTTAAGATCCACAAATACTCCACTGAAGAGCAGTAGGAAAGAGGGATTAGAGAAGGAATAGTTTTAAATGTAGGACTTGCTCATTCCACTTAGATGACACCATAAACAAGGCAGATTTCAATTAGCATGAAATAACCAAGGAAGCCAATGAGAATCAAAGATTGCAGACTTTGTATGCCAATCTGTTCAAGCTTGGTGAACATTAGCAGCTACTACATTTAGAGTCTGCTAAGATGCACTGCTGGTGATCAATTTCTTAACAGGCTGTTATGGGAACATGTCCCTGATTGAGAGTGAGGTAGTCTGAGCATCTGCCCCAAAGTATGATGGCACCAATGGTTGGATCCAGATGTAGTTGTGCTTACAACAGACATTTAAGTTTAATTTGCCCCATTGATTTGAATAGACCTACATATGAGTAATCCGGTTTAGTCTTTGAGTATGTTACTATCTGCCACTGGAAATAGTAGCAGTAATGTATGCATTGTGAAATTCAGGTTGTAATTAGATTTTTCTTTTGCTATTAAAAGCAAATAAAATTATATTTGTGCATATTTTATCTACATTATCTACAGTATATGATTTTAAGTACAATTTTTATAGTCAAACCTTTTTAACATCTCTTAACTGTATTGGAAATGGTTAAAATAATGGAATTTTGTTATAAAGATTAAACTATTTATTCAAAAGACTGATAAAACTTTCAAAGTATTTGTTATTGTTGTAACAGGAATTTTTTCCATGTTGCTATTTTTATTTTCTGGCTGAAGCATCTGTCTGCAGATACTCTCTTAGAGACACTTACCTGGAAATAAGTGCAGAACTGTATTTCTAAATGAACATATGTAAGATATATCTGCATCTTTTCATGAGTTCAATAACTTATACAGCAATGCATGATCTGAATAATGTACTATGGGGTCCACTTTGAAGAAAGAGCTGTTAAAATAAACAATGTTGTACTTGATTTTGATAACATTCCATATCTAAGATTTTAAAATACTCAACCCATGCACATATTCTTCAGAGTAGAGATCACATAATATCTGCTATAATAATGAAACTTATCTGTTTGTTGATGACACAGCCAAACTTATCTATTTGTTGATGACACAGAATGTCAAAGGGGACACCTTTGGTATCTTTTCTAACATAAACAATAAAATAGTGGCTTGGGCCATCTTCCTTATTTGTCAAATAAAAATGAATGAAGTTATTAGTTGGTTCCAACTCTGTTGAATCTGGAAATAGAAGTTGCTTCCACTCCTTCTAGGAAAATAATTCTGCTTCTCCTACACCCCTTCTCCTAATTTCTGGTGATTCTCTATTCACACGGGAGTCCTCTCTACCATAGAGCCATGCTGATTCAATCGAAGGGTCTATGCAATCTAGCATTTTGTTCAAAGCAAGTATGAGTGCAACATCATTTTCCTATTCATGCTCCTTGTCAGCTAACCCGAACGGCTTGCTGTTTCTGCTACTAGAGAATAATTTCAGCATGACTGATAACTCATTTTCATTGTTGTTTCCAGTCTTCTTTTCAAGCCACCCTAACCGAAGTTGAATCTAGCCATGGTTTTCTAATAATGTTTAAAGAGGCCTGTCAGACAAGAAAATAGAGTGACAATTTCACCAAGCTTTTATTATATAAAGCTATTCGTATATCTATGCTGTAAGTAAAGGTAAACGTTTCCCCTGACATTAAGTCTAGTCATGTCTTATTCTGGGGGGTGCTGCTTATCCCCATTTTTAAGCCGAAGAGCCACCGTTGTCCATAGACACCTCCAAAGTCATGTGGCCAGCATGACTACATGGAGCACCATTACCTTCCCACCAAAGCGAGATCTACCCACATATTGATCTACCCACATTTATATGTTTTCGAACTGCTAGGTTAGCAGAAGCTGGGCCTAGCAGCAGGAGCTCACCCCACTCCCCAGATTCGAACTGCCAACCTTTCGGTCAGCAAATTCAGCAGCTCAACAGTTTAACCCTTTGCGTCACCAAGGAGCCCCATCTATGCTGTAGCCAACTGGAAATAATCCTGGACTGTTAATACAAAATAAATATAGAGATAGGCCCAGTATAATGCCTTATTGTTAAAAGTTTAAAATAATATAAAGTCTACACATTTTACCTACATAATACAACATTTCCTCTCCACACTTATTCACTTGTTTGATATGAAACAATATCAATATAATCAGCAGAGACAAGGTGTTATCTACGGGCATACGTTAAGCAGGAAGCTGTCTTCTAGAAACTTTGGTTCTGGCCACAGAAATGTAATAGACACAACATAGTAGGATAAAATAGTTTCTTTCTCTAAACAGGGAATACTGGTTTTTAATTATTAAATGATACATTTAAGTTGTGAATAGATCAATTAACTTTTTAAAACAGGTGTTTAATTGTTCTTTAATTCCTTGATGGCCCTAATTTTTGAGCTGTCTAATGGGTTTTAGGTGATTATATCCTCTCAGCCTTGAAGTAATCATCATGAAGAAATTTCTTTTTATATGCAATGTCATTTTCTTACCACTAGATGGTCCTAATGTGGTTTCAGTCATACCAACATATACATGATTTACTATAAAGTATTTAAACTGATAAATGTGTTTACCTGGTGGGGTTTTTTTGTTTGTTTTTTTTTTGGTATTTCTTTTTCAAAGACGGGGACTTTCTCTCAGTTTAACCAGTTCATAACGTCATCAAAACTGAGGCCACCTACTTCTTAATGAATGACTTGGTTTAAGATTCCAAAAGTTATATTTTCTGTTAACTCAAAATATGCAGGATCTGCTCATGTGCACATATCTATATGCACATTTGATACTGGCATGTAACGTGTGTTCAAAGTGGCATGTGCAACCAGCAGGACAGGTAATCCTGGCACTGGAATGAGAACTGTGCATGTAAGATCAAAATCTACACTCTCCTGAGCCATTTTTGCAAGTGTGTCTCTTGATAAGTAAAGCTATTGATGTTACTACATATATTTCTGGTGATGTTATGTTGAATATTTGAAGGAGAAGAAATCCTACATTTTCAAATTTTTAGATTGTTGGGGGAAAAAAACCTGACCAACAGTTTGTTCAGTAGTGCATATACTTGTGTATACATCTAGCAGTTTGAGTCCAAAAAAATCTACCCAAAAACCTGGGTTGACCTATTCACAGGACGGTATAAGTACTGCACCTTAACTCTTCTCAAAAAGGAGTCGTCCCCGTAGAATCATAGAATTGGAAGAGACTGCATGAGCCATCTAGTCCGACCTCCTGCCATGCAGGAAAAGCACAAAGTACCCTTGACAAATGGCCAAACAGCTTGTTTAAAAGCCTCCAAAGAAGGAGCTCCACTACACTCCGAGGCAGAGAGTTCTTCAGCTGAACAGCTCCTACAGTTAGAAGTTCTTTCTAATGTTCAGATGGAATCTCCTTTTCCATGATTTGAACCCAATGCTCTTGAGTCCTGGTCTCCAGGGCAGCAGAAAACAAGCTTGCTCCCTCCTCATGACAGCTTTTTCACATATTTATATATGATTAGCATGTTCCCTGTCTTCCTTCTCTTCTGCTGGTGGAACATACCCAGCTCTTTAAGATTCTCCTCATAGGGATTCCTGGTCTTCAGACCTTTGATCGTTTTAGTCGCCCTCCTCTAAACATGTTCTAGCTTGTCAATGTCTCTTTTAAATTGTGGTGCCCAGAATTGGGCACACTATTCCAGGTGAGGCATAACGAAAGCAGAATAGAGGGTGCCATTACTTCTCTCAACATTATACTCCTTCTGATGCAGCTCAAAATCTCATTGGCTTTTTAAGCTGCAGTGTCACATTGTTTGCTCATGTTCAACTTGTCCTCGAAGACTCCAAGATTCTTTTCATAGACTATTGTCAAGTTAAGCGTCACCCATTCTGTATCTTTGCATTTCATTTTTTCTGCCTAATTTTAGTATCTTCTATTTGTCCTTGTTGAATTTCATTGTGTAGGAGAGTGGCAAAAGGTAAGAACTTGAAAGAAAGTTAAAATGTCAATAACTCCTCTTTTCCCTCTGCTGTGTGCACTTGCACACACAGGTAACTTCTTAATGGCAGTGTTGGAGGCAGGCTGCATGGCTTAAAAGGTAGTTTGAGGGGCTACCACCTTGAGGTGTAGCTACATGGACACAGCTATGAACACAGGATCACAGCCCATTTGAATGACACTTTTCCCTCTATAGTCATGGATTAAGCAGGAGCATCAGAGTATCAAAAGGATGTGGCCTTTTCCAATTTAAATAAAGTGTGCTGCAGATTTGGGAGGGGGCACTGCAATGTTCCTAATTACAATTCATTGTGTGAAAATTAAGTCGGTACTTTAGACCTGTTATTTTAAAAGGATGATTGATTTTTTGAACACACAAAACACTTTTCAGTATGGTTCACCCAACACCTGTGAGTGATATGTTTCTTCGCTTTTCTTGGCCACACAGGGGACTGAAACCCCAACTTTTTGGCTGGGGGGTGGCCAGATTACCCACCGCTGCCAATTCATGATCTGCAGGAATGGGCAACCCCCCTCCCCATTTAGCCTTTAAAAAGAAAAGAAAAGTCTTCATAGGAGCCATTTTTGTTACCTTCCTGGGGTTTGAAAATAAAATTAACTGTAGAGGGAAGGAGGAATTCCCCATTAAAGCTCTTTAGTTTCACTTTCAATGAGGAGGCTTTCCAGGAGGCTTGCCTTAAAGGGAAGCCTGAGCCTGGGGAGGAGGGATGGCTGTAGGAACTGCTTGCTTGGATGCTGAATAGAGATCCCAGGGGACAGTCTCCATATCTGCAAAGATCCAGGTTTTTCAATAAGATCCGAACCTTTTCAGGTATCTTTTAAACCTGGAATGAACCTGGATTGTCGGATTTATTCCAGGTTGAAACGGATCAGCCTGAAACGTCATCAGGACAACTCAAGTTATCCATTTCCTATCCCACATTATGTGGCTGTGTCAATGGGGCATAGGTCATCCAGTGGATTTCTATGGCTGAATAGGGATTTGAGTGCTGGTCTCCATAGTCTAATGCTCAAACCACTATACCATACTGACTCTCTGATAAGACACTGGTCAACTCTGTTTACCTGATGTCAAAGTGATGCTGTTTTTGAGCAGCAGGAAAAAGATTGTGTGGTGTATTTTCATCTACAAATATATAACTGAATTTTAATAATGAAAGGGAAAACAGACCCATTAGAAGATAGAAAAAATAAATTGTCAGTTGATAGAGAAGCAGCTGTATCCTGCATGGCAGAAGACACTCACAATTTTCAGACATAATGACAACTGTGGCACTGTTGCCACAATCATAGATGCCCTTCCAACCTACCTAAATGTTGGCAGACATATTTAGTGGAGGAGATCTGTTCAGGTGCTGATCAGGATGTGAGGAGGTGGAGGTTTCTAGCCTTCCTTTTGTCAGTGAAGGAGGCTCATACAATCAGAAGCAGGACCCCTGTTGCACTTCCTTGTTGCGAACCCTTACTAGTAAAAGGGACTGAAAACATCCTTCTCCTCGCACCCTGATCAGCACCTGAAAACACCTCCTTAAATCAATGCTGCTGCAGTTATTCAGGTATACTTGGGGAGTCAAGCCAAGGAATGTTATGTAATTAAGTAGCTGATGTAGCATATTGGTGGATGCTGGATTTAGGGTCATGAATTTATCTTTTTATCCCTTTTTAAATATATATATATATATATATATATATATATATATATATATATTCAAATGTTGGTTGACTTCTGCCATGTGGAGTCTTCCACAGAGTATTGCAAATGTAACATGTTTGCTCCTGATGAAACTCTTGAATATTATACTGCTCCATTTCTCTCTGAAATAACTTTTTTCCTGAATTTCCCTAGGCCAGTCTTCCTCAGTCTTTTCTCAGTCTTCAAGCAACTACCCATTTAAATAGCTCTCGCTCTCTCTTCTGTCTCTCTCTCTGACTCTTCAGGCCAAATTGATAAGCAGCTAGGAATGTAGAAGGTTTTAACTAGGTGGTAGATGGAAGATTAGCCTGCTGTACAAAGCATTCCAGCATTTTTGCCATTTTCCCTATTGGCCTATTTCTATGCATTTACTGAGGCGCGTGGTCAATCACTCACCAACTACGGACTGTCAAGTGCTGATCAGGATGCGATGAGAGGAAGGTTTCTAGCCTTCCTTTTGTCAGTGAA